GTACGCTAAAAATGTTTCATGGTAATATCGTGCCATCTGTTGAAAACTTAAAAAGTATTTTTAAAATAACCATGGTAATTGTTCAGTAATTTGTTATTGGTCACTTGATTTAGTTTTTCCTCTTGTAGAACCAGTAACGATTCGTACTATTTAATTTTTTCTGATCTTAATACGTAATTCAATTTCATTTAAAATTTGACATCTTTAATATAATTAATGATCTTCGCCATAGGGAAAATACTTTTTATCATCCTATTATTGTTTAACTGCATAGAAAAATCTGCGAAGCCGCTTTAAGTTGTCATTTCTGAAAAGAAAAGAAGAAGAAGCAACATTACATTAACAACAAAGCCTCGTGGACATTGGATATGACAGACTTTGTGTTTAACACATTTTTATACTTTCTTCTTTACGTTCACTATTCATTTCTTAAAATTACGATGTATAGAGTTTCCTTTTCATGGTCTAGAGACAAACTCGATCCACTATTGCACATGGATTATAACTAATATTTAAATATTTATATTATGCAATTTTTGTAAATTACAAATAGAAGTGGGCTTTATAACTATCGAAAAGAATCTAAAGATATTTGCTGTTGTAATAATTAGAAGATACGGAATATCGAATTAATAATGCTGAAACATTTTCTGTGTTTTCTGTGATTTATATTTTAATTTTGTTGTAAGTAAACAGTAAAAAAAATCAGGTTAGGCTGAACATTTTTTGTTAAACCAATTAAAGTAAACATATGGTGCAGCTTTGTTAGTAAACAAAGCAGAAAAATAAAATTTCTATATATTAGTTCAGTATTGCGTAATAATTGTGACATTTACTAAACATGTCTGGTTTTCGTGTCTATAACTTGCGCTTAGAATTTAATGTGAATGGGATACAGGTCAGGCCTAATGTTATGTCTGCACCCAGTGTTAAGATTTTAATGTGAATGGGATACAAGTCAGGCCTAATTTTATGTCCGCACCCAGTGTTAAGGTTTTAGTGTGAATGAATACAGGTCAGACCTAATTTTGTGTCCACGCCTGGTGTTAGGGTTTAGTGTGAATAGCATATAAGCCAGGCCTACTTTTATACAACTGGTATAAGGATACAAGTCAGACTTAATTTTATGTCTGTGCCTGATTTTAACTTTAAGGTTATGACAGGATCCTGACAAGCCTGATACTATGGATAGAGTAACGTAGTCTCAACTCATGAAAGGTCCACCTATGAAATGTCTAAAATAATACTTTTTAATCCCGAGGTACGTCTGTGCAATCGCTTGTCTCATACAACACGTTCTGTAGTGGCCACGTTCTGTAGTGGCAGGTTTACTACAATGCTCTTGAATGAGCATTGTGACCTTGACTTGTGAGCATGTACGAGTATAGTACTGACAGGAATGTTTATATATAAACCAGTATACATCCCGTCAAACATGATGGGTGTTGAGAAAATTCTGTAAAGATTGATATAAATTAACTAACAATAGTTTTATACATATTAAAAATCACATTTGTGTTTCATTATATTGCCCATACACAACATTGGCAATGTTTACATGCTATTTCTAATGTTAAAAGCGTCAAAAACAAATTGGAAAAAATTGTCAGCATTTTAGTTATTGCTGTGTAATAGTAATATTAATACACCATTATAAAACATTTTTACATTCCTATTTTTCTATTCATGTTGCAACTTTTCATATGTTGTAGCACAGTATGTAAATATTATAGAAATATTCATTTCTTTAATTGCGTAGTTTGAATACTATGCGTTCTCACATATTTATACACATGTAACTAAATGTTATCAGTCTAACGTTAGTAATAGTACAGTATTTTATTAGTGGGTCTATTTGTAGCGCTTTGTGCTTAATAACAAAATTATTTATTGTCAAATTTAAGCATTAGGCCTAATAGTAATACATAAATGAAATGTAGGCTCAGCTGAAACACTATTTCATTGAAATCCTTGGTAACTTTTATTTTGCTTTTGTCTACAACTTAATGTCAAAAAACGCAGGTGTTCATTAAACAACTGAAAAAATATAAATAAAATGTGATTTACCTTATCACGGTAGGATAAGAGAGCCCAAACTAAAGTACTATTTTTTTGTTCATTTTTTATAATTAAGTCTAAAATAAAGAGTAGTGCGTAGTAACTTACTCTAAGCTCAAGTGCATAAAACTTCTCTTGATTTTTTGTTTGTTTGGTTTTGAATTTCGCGCAAAACTACACGAGAGCTATCTGCGCTAGCCGTCCCTAATTTAGCAGTGTAAGACTAGAGGGAAGGCAGCTAGTCATCACCACACACCGCCAACTCTTGGGCTACTCTTTTACCAACGAATAGTGGGATTGACTGCCACATAATAACGCCCCCACGGCTGAAAGGGCGAGCATGTTTGGTGGGACGGGGATTTGATTTTTGTTGTTGTTTGTAATTAAGCACTAAAGTAAAACTACCCAATGGGCTATCACTGCTCTGCCCACAACAGGTATCAAAAGCAAGTTTCTATCGTTGTAAGTCTGCAGACATGCCGCTGTGACACTGGGAAAACTTCTCTTGAGAGAAAAAATGTCAATTCAAATCTAAATAGCAATCGATGTCTTCGAAGAAAAGTTTGATAATAAACAAGATTACGACAGTTATGATATACATTGTTTATTCCTGACCTGGAATTATTGATCAAAGAAACCCTCCACATCCAACACTGAACAACGTGCAGCCTTCATTTATATTATACATTTTTTAATATGTTCGTATTAGTGATTTTACTTTTTGTTGTTGTTGTGTTTTTTTGCTGTAGTTTCTCCTCATGATTACTGTTTTGTGTTTTATTTGTTTAATTATTGTTAAATTTAGCAGTTGTACTTTAACAATGTCCAAAGACTTATGTAAACTCATTTAATTTTGCTTTAGATACTGAAGATGGAACGAAACGTTTATCTATGTTCCCTTTTTGTTAATAAATAAGTGTCATAATCTTGTTTATTATCAAATCTAAATAGTTTCTATATTAAACTACTTTGCTGTTATATCACCGAAGTTATCAAAAATATAAAGAATAAAAACAAATATTTCTAACAAATCAACATGTGTATTAAGCATTCAACATACACACCATAGTTGGCCGAACAGATGGTAGTTTTTTTGATAAGCAAAGATGTAAATTGTAAACTATTACCAAAAATGGAGTGTGACACGAAAACAGAAACTAAGTATGTTAATTGATCTATAGTGCTTCTTTCACTAGGTTTAAAGTTTAATCACGTGAGACCGTTTTCAGATGAGACTGGATGTTATTGGTGGAGCATATTGTTTCAGAGCTTAGAAAATTGAGAACCACTGGTGAAGAGAATCTTATGTTACTGGTTTTTATCTTTTTCTGTAAACTAGGAATATATGTCATAATGATGCGAAAATGCATTTTCGACTTTAAACAATCACTGATTACACGTCACATGAGATGGCGGGCTATTCATCAGGACACAACCGTATTTAAAGTTAATCGACCAGATACAGGTCATAAAAATTTTCCGCAGAAAAAACAGGTTGTTGTTTGCGGCGGTGGAGTAACTGGCGCCTCAGTCTTGTATCATCTGGCAGAACGTGGGTGGACAGATAGTATATTACTTGAGAAAGGAAAGTGAGTTATGTTTTCAATTTAAGCCGTCAGTTTGTTTGTTTTGTAATTAAGTACAAAGCTACATAATGGGCTCTCTGTGCTCTGCCCATCACAGGTATCAAAACCCAGTTTCTAGCGTTGTAATCCGCAGACATACCGCTATGCCACTGGGGGCTAAGGCGTCGGATAAACATACTTGCCAACTCTTAGATTTACACCGTTTGGTACCGATTTCGGGATTATGCTAAGTTATAGTTATACCACTTACCAATTTTATTGATTTTTAGGACTGAAGGTATTCATACCACTGTGCAAAATATCTGCAATAACGTTTTTTACTTATAATATAAATAACTGTTTTAGATGTTAAATTTACAGGAGCCGAGTGCATAGTTCACTGTTTGTAGTTATTCTATGGCTTAGAATGCAGGAAATTGTATTATTTCATCCTTTCCCCCAAATATATCCGGGAAACAAGCTCCTGGTCGATGCGTCATGTAGAACTTAAAAGTTAGAACGTGTTTTACTTCCAAGTTGTAGTTCTATGTCTATTTGAAAGGTTGGCAAGTATGAGGAAATAGTTCCATGTGAAACTAGACCACCCTCTATTCAGAGGTTATGAAGAATTCAAGCTAATTCCAATATTGCACCGAAATGAAGGTTTATTTTGAGATAATTTAATTAAATATTTCAATCCATTCGTGTTATTGATAATTCAAGAAAATATATTTGATTGTTGATTGGGAGTAAAAAAGAAAGACCATTTCATTTTTCAAAAAACCTGAAGTCAGAGTTTTCAGGTATAGTGATGAATTAGTTCATTATGTTCTTAATCCTTCCACAAATAAGAAACAGTAACACTTTATTTTTTCTTTGAATTACCTACTATAACTAAGGCACATTATTGAGAAATTCTTCAAGATCTTGTTTTTGTCATCTTATGCCTTTTAATGAAGATGGGAATATTGATAGGGAAATAGATTTAGTGTGATATAAAATTACCCATGCTAGAAATTTTCATAAAAGTGACCCGAAAAACAGCGCTAACTCGGTAACCCGTGGCCCGATTTTAACGAAAATTGTTTTATTTTCTCTCTCTCTCTCCGAATCGGAATTTAGGTCGTTTACGACTTGGGAAAGTCAGGTTCTAGTAGACCTCTTCTTCCCTACTGTGCTGTTATTATATTTTTCTATCTTCTTGGGTTTGAGTTGGCTGGTTTGATTTGATTTGTTAAATTCATTTACTACTTTCCTTTTTTGCGCCATGTCCGTTTATGTTTTCAAGTTATATATGTGTGAAGCCTTATATTTGCTTGGTATTTGTGTTCTGTGGATTTAGTGGTAGGGAAAGTAACTGTGGTAGTAGTTGTTCGTGATTAGTGCGATGCAACCCTATTCGTTTTGGGGGTTATTATATTTTTCTCGGAATATGCTAAATATGTTTGTGACTGCCTCTGTTATTTTGTTTGTTAATGCCTATATTTGAACATTGATTGGTTTAGTGTTTTTTATTTGTTCTATTGTTTTTTAAGTTTGGGTGTGGGGTTTTAATGCCTGTGCAAATGCCTGTAGATTGTTTGTTTGTATTGGTATTTTGTTGAGGTTTTGGTGTTGGTAGCAGTGGTATTTTTCTTTGTGTACTGCGTTTGTTTTATTATGTTTCTCTCTTCTCATTTCATTACAAATATGGCTCTATTGTGCCCCGTTTTTGCTGTATCTAATCACAGACAAGCAAACAAACAAACAGTATCAGAATTTTAGTAGTGTATAGACAGATGCACTTCCGAAGTTTGATTATTACGTGAACATGTATAACAATCAAAAATTAAGTTTATTTTTATAGTATAAATTTAGAATTGTAACTATTATTTCATAAAGTTGGTTTAGATAATAATATTATTAATACTAATAATGTAATAGAAAATGTAGTTATAGATTATATCGCAAACTGTTTAACAGCAAAATAACTTAGAAGGTTTATCCTATTCTAGAAATATAACACATTAAGTGTAACTTTAAGCCAATTTTGCAAACAATTTTATTCATTTTTCATTATTTAAAATGGTTAGGTCTTTATTTAAGATATTTTGGACCCAACTAATTTAAGAAAATGTAATTGAAAATATTTTAATTTACAAACAAAGCTTTACTATGGCATCTAATACTCAAATTTAGTACTTGTTAACTATCAGTCTAAGAAAGATGCTTGAAGTTGAATAAAGAACAATTTTTTTTTGGAGTCATTGTAAGTTTATCAGACTTCCTAAGCATTTTAACATGCTGTTACTTCTAGCTCTGTATTGTTTTTTTTTTTAAAATAAGGTTCTTAACTTTGATGCTAAAGTTTGTTAGATAATAAATAATTATTAGTATATCAGCAATACCATTTTTTGAGTATAAATAAGATTCAATAAAAGTTAGATATAGAAAAAATATACTTTTTATGTATTGTTCTTGTTTTAGTGTGCTCTCTAGATGAAATAAACTAGTGATTCTTTAGTTTTTTTTGTTGTATATTATGATACTTGCAACTAATGTTATATATGTCCACTATATGATGACTGACTTGCAGAATTACTGGATATGTATTTTAATATTCTAATCCAGCAAATTAATAAAGTGTGTTATATGCTATGAATCATTTAAATGCTTTGGAATCAAAACGTGTATTATCATTTCAGTTTATTAAGTTATAACCTCAAAGCAGCTGCAGGCAAGACACTTTTTTTTTTTCACTATTTGAAGCTACTATCCTCACTCCTGCCCCTCTCGCAAACAAAGCTATTTTTTATATTAATCTTAGGATCATGAGATGATCATTATCTTGGCAACAACATTTCTTGTTAGTATTCACATTTTTTCACACTAAGCAAGAACTATTCCAATCGAGCTTGGAGGTTAACCCTGTAGCATATTTTTTTTAGTAAAGCACTTCTTAATTTTTCAGGTACTTGTCCATTATACCCCTGAAATTTTAATAACTTTTCCATTATGTCCCCACAATTAATGTTTAAAAAGTAAATAGATAAATATATATATATATATATATATATATGCATTTTACTCATACCGTAAATGTCCATAATAAATTCTCAGAATATATAAATAAGCATTGTATTTGTATAGTAAAAACTTACCATTTGCTGGGTTTTAATGGAACAGTACCATTTTTCAGACTATCTGTCTACCACAAATGTATGCAAATTATGTTTGCTTGGATATTCTTTAGTGCCATTTCTAAACTGTTTTATTACCTTAACTAATGTTAAGAGCATAAAATGCTAGAGAAGACACTGAATTCCCCTTCACACACACACACAAAAATGTAAATTAGTTAACATAACATATTATATTGAGACAACATGGGACTTATTGGTCCATCTTGGCTGTTCCATCCTCAAAACTAAATTAAAATGATTAAAAAAATAAAAAATAAACATTTTAAACCAAGCTTTTTTCATTCTTGTACTTATCAAGCTTTTTCTAAACTCACTTGAATTTACTGCCTCTACAACATCTGAAGGCTACCTATTCC